TGCTATCACATTTCAGCGAAGACACTTCACTGAAAAAAAAGTCGATTAAAAGTGAAAAAAAGGTACAACGATTCCCGGCAAACCTACCAAATCCAGTCCAAGCAGTAATTTAGTATGAAGTCCATAATATTGCAAACCATTTCCTCCTTCATTTGCGCTAAGTGCGGATAGTTCGCGGTCAATTGCTCCATCGGCCCAAGGGCATTTACCACAGCAGCTAAAGCAAAGAAAAGGAACGGGATTTATATTTATGAAGTGAGAAAAACAGCTTCAGACTTACGGAGCTGCTTCTCGGAACGAAATCTTGGTACGCTGTCATACAGTGCTCTTGCATTCGTAAACTCGTAAAGCTTGCTAAGCAAAAAACTTTTGGCTACAAGCAAGAATGGCTGGAACACTGAGTTGCATAATATAGTTAGAGGAAATCGCGTAAGAAATAACCGCATGACTTCTCTATTTATAAGCAAACATTTTTCTTCCTCTTGTCTGAAAGGAAACATCAGTAAGACTTTGAACCTGACGAGGCTGTAAACAGAATCGGAAAAAAACAAACACCTACTTCTTCATTTCTTTGCACATCCATCGTAATGCAGCTGCAGAAGAAATTCTAAGCTGCTTTCGTTTTACATACGCCATGGAAGTATGAAGCTACAAGAATTTTCGCGAATCATGAGTGCTGAGGAAGTAATAACTTACAATTTCACAATCAGGAAGATCCATAAAAACTTCATAAACAGAGGTACCTATAACTAATGCACTGAGCTGTGATGGAGAACATGTTGCAACCTAAAAAAAGCCATAAGCAAGATGCAATAACTCCAACACAAGCTTCTGGAAATGATGGACTCTGATGAGCGCAATTCGTGGAAAACTAATTGAGATTTCAAAAAATCTTCAGCTATCGATAGTGACGGAAGTGTTACAAATGAAAGGAAAATCCAATGAACATTCAACAATACTATACATGGAGCAAGTCAAACCTTCCATATCAGCGACTCCCTTTCTTCTAAATTCGCATCTGACAAAAGATTGAATGTTGGCCCGTGCATCTTTTCGGTATCTAACGGCACTCGCATAGGATACTGGATTCTGCAATTCTCAAGATTTACATTAGAATTAGATTACACACATGATGAACAATGAATGCCTGAAGCATACGAAGGAGCTAATTTCGTCTATCCAAGCAGATTCGAATCCCATCCGCAAATAATTAAAGCGTCTTTTCAGATGT